GGAAGGAAGGAAGGAAGGAAGGAAGGAAGGAAGGAAGGGATGGAAATAGGCCAACTTTAGGTGGAAGATGGCAGCTGAGAGCAAGGACTCCTAGTCCCTTGGATGTGCCTGCACTCCCATTTAAGCTTTAAAACCTTGCCTAAGTGGCACCATGTAGCCCGGGGTCCTCACCGTCCTTACCTCAACTTCACACCTTTGCCAGAATGGAGCAACACAGCTAGTGGGGATGGAATTACAGCATCATGAATCTGCCAGCTCCTCTGCCCCCAGCCTCTCCCCTCCCTCCCTCCCTGACAGCACACTCATCAAATCTTCTTACTCTGAATCTCATGTGCATTTGTGATTCAAATATAATCTCTGCTCATGATACCTTAGTCCCAACCTCTGTCCTCTTCCTGTGGGAATTTTGCCCCTTCTCTTGGCCAGCTAACTTGGAATGCAAGCTCACTATAAACACAGACTCTCACACTATTGCAAGGCCATGATTATCACCCTAGTATCATGGTTGGATACTCCACGTGGAAGTCTCGATAATCACTTTGAACTCCCAAAGTCTGCCCTTGAATCAGCTCCTGCTCTGAGGAGCACACCAGGTTCTAAGCTTATGGACAGTCCCTTTGGCCTCCTTATGACAGAAAAATCCAGACAGCCACCAAGTTTTGCCAAAATTCCTGGAAAATGCAATGTGCTCTCCTGTCTCTCCGTTCCCAGTGTACTCCTTCTAGCCCAAGCTTGTGCCACCTCACAGCACAGCTAAGTCATTTCCTGTTTCCGACTCCACTGCATGCCATAGAAGCCACCTCCACGGGCAGACCACTGAGCAGTGCCTGTCATCCCTTTGCTCGAGCCAAGCTTAAAGCCCCTTTCTCAGTTCCCAGGCCTGTCTCTCTGCAGCGACGCGGCAGAACCCTTCTGCCTTAGTCCCTGTTGTGGACTCTCTGACAGAAGGATGTCAGAGCTCCTCTTGGGCCACAGAAGCCAGCAATGGCATTTCCGCCTTTGTGTCTTCATTTACATCAACTTTCCTGCCATACTGTCTCCCTCCTCCCATATGAGTCCTGAGCTACTCCTAACGCCCTACTCCCAGAGTGGGCACCCCAACAGTGGCAGAGTCTCTTTCTCCAAACTAGAACGGTGAGGGGCTGTTATTTAGCACTTAAATTGCACATGGATTATAGGCTATTCTTACCACCCAAATGGAGGATGAGCTCCTTGAGAGCGTGCACGGTGTTTCCTGCCAGGGCCTCCCCCACGTAGTAGATGATCAATTTCTATTTGCAACTGATCGGACATATGAGTTCAGTAGTCTTCTGAAATCAGGAGATGGTTCTTATTAACATGAAACAGGCTCATCTACCATCAAAACAACACCAAGGACACAGGTCTTGGCAATAGGACTTCCGGTTTATTATGGAGCTTCTGTGAGCTGTTGAATCTAAACAGTTTCCCGACAGATGAGATTAGCATCTCCCAAACCAAATTTTTTCCTCAGGTGCTAAAGCTTTCTCTGAGGACTTAATAAGTTTCCTGGTTTCTCAGTGTTCCAAGACCTAGCCCCCTCTAAGATGGGGAAAGAATGCAACACATCCATCTCATAATGCCCAGTGGGAACCACAGGAGCGGAAAAGGCAGCAAAACGTCACTCCTGTTATAGACGCGAGTACCGCATATGGCTGGCTGCCTTTGTGATCAGAGGGCGCTCCTGACACCCTCAGAGTGTGCTTCGCATGTGGTGGGCACCCAGTGACCATCAGCTGATATGCTGAGCCTTGGCTCTGGTCCTCACATACACTCGTGAGACTCCTACCACAAATGGCATATAAAGTTACCCGGACGGTGACCTTGCTGCTGAGTAGAGTTGGGCAGGGCTGTGTGAAGGCTGTGAGCAGGGGCCAGACACCCTGTCCCAGGTGGTCCTGCACGCATCTCTGCCAGGAGAACCCCTACTGTCCGGCCTGCTCCAGGCAACAGAGCAAGGACCACATAAAAGTAGAACAAAGGGTGCTAAACGCCGGGAAGGGTAGGGGAAGGGATAGGGAGAGATTTGATGAAAAATACAAAATCACAACTCCAAAGGAGGAAGTTCCAGTGTTCTCTACCACTGTAGGATGCCAAGAGTTAACAATAAGATATTGTTTCAAATAGTTTCAAATAGCTAGGAGGAGGATATTGAATGTTCCCAGCATAAGAAGATGATAAATGTTTGAGATGATGGATATGCTAATTACCCTCATCTGATCACTATACATTATATGTATCACAACGCCATTATGTACCCCATGAATATGCACAGTTGTTATCAATTAAATAGAGAAAATTAAAACAATTTTTAAAATATGAGCTTCCTCCTTCAGGCCTCCTAGAACAAAGCATTCCATGAACAAGCCTCTCCATAAGCTCAGCTACACCTCAGGGACTGCGGCCGGACAGATCCACAGCTAGCGAGCGGCAAATCCCCAAACAAAACAAGAATTTATTTAATAAATATTTGCAAGAACGCTTAAGGGGTGACTCAGCTGACCACAGTGGCAAGTGCTGTGTAAGGGGCCCACAAGAGTCACTGAAAAAACAGCTGGATCATGGGATTAACTTCTCTCCCTCCTTTTTTTGTTTTGTGATCCCTGGAGCTCATTTTCAGTCTCTTTGTCTTTATATTGCATTGATCTCTGGAGCTTCTGATCCTGGGGCTGTTTCTCCAGAGCCCTGAATGATGTAGATGACTGTGGTTTAGAGTGTCTTTCTCTGGACAGCAACCCCCTCCAGCCAAGGCACTGGCCGGCTGATGGCCGTGGGACAATCTCAGACTGACCAAGAAAAAGCCTCTCACTGCTGCTGGAAAAACATTTACAATATTAGACACGGGTGTACGCTTAATACCATACCAGGAGATAACATTTGGGGATTTTGACCCACAAGATTTTACAGACTACATTTGGGTAAACATGCTGAGGCCCCTCACCCTACTCTTGCTAGATTTTTTTTTTCCAGTCAAGAAAGGCAACACAGGAAAAAGTATGTATCCAAACTGCACCATCTCCTTTAATGACCTGCTAAAGGTATTACTTGAAATTCACAGATGCATTGCCCCTCTGCTGAGTATGGGTTCTGCTACTATTTTTTTTATTTCCATAATGTTGCCTTCAGCTACAAAGCCATCTCTCTTTTCTCCCTGCAAGCATTTGCAACATATTGCAAATTGTCACCCTGTCTCTTCTGTTCTCCTTATAAGGGACGAGGTAATTACAGGGCTTGTGCAAAGATGACTTGGAGGCTGGTAGCTAAGGGCTGCCCTGCCACCTGCCCCACCAAGGTCAAGTCCTACGCATTGTATTTCAGAGGTAAGGAGCATAGAAGAGGGAGGACTCTCCCTTTAGATGGAAAAGGAAGTTTGAGTCAACAGAGGAACACAGAGGAAAGGTGGATGGGCCAGTCGGCGTGCCCCTCCAGCCAGTTCATGTCATGAGAGGTAATGAAAATGTCTGAATCCCCTAGAGTGGAGCTATCAGCTGTGAGCCCTTTGGCATGTTCCTGCTCTGACTGTAGGCAACTGTATTCCATGGAAAGTGGGCTGAGGAGCAGATGCAGGCTCTTATAATCCTTAGTGGAAGAGAATTCCAGAAGCAGGGCCAATGCCACACCGTGTATGGCATCGGTGTCTTAGGGGCCCCCATGGCTGTGCTCACACATGGAAGATGCTCAGTCAACATTCATAAGAGGAAGGAGGCAGGGAAAATGCTGGAAAACCCTAACAGTTTTTCCTGTGCCCAAGAACAGAGGTGAGGCATTTTCAGCTAGAATAGAGTGTAGGTTACACTCTGCCAGGTCATGCCACTGCCTGTAAGCTTCTGAAGGGTTCCCAGGTGTAGGCTGTTAATCTTTTTAAGTGCCAGGTGTTAGAGGGCAATTAAAAAGCATTAACCCTGAAGCGCATGGAATGTCCTAGAACCTTGCTGTTAAACCATTCACTAAGCACTGGAGTTGTGC